GGAACTCGGTGGCTTGGAATAATTGTGAACAAACAAAATATATATCTTCTTCAGCTGGATGGCCATGTATGGTGGCTAATTTTCATACCAATGTATATTTACCTAATTCTTTACAATACATATACTCTCAATGTAACATATGCATTCTAATCATTTTTAGAAATATTTATAAATTGCACAATTCGAATTCAAACGAGAGGTTTCTATTGGCTGACAGAATAACTTTGGAATATTTTCAATTGTTGTAAATTGCGCTCGTTGATTAGCTGGTTTGATTCAACTGCCTTTGAAAATATTTATAAAGATGGAGGAATTCCTATGTTGTGCCAAAAGTAAATCAAAGATTTATAAGTTCAATATATGCAAGTTGTGTGATTTAAAATCTAGTGTGAGTTGTGTGATGATTCCAAAATCTCAATACAGACGTACGTTTCTAGAAATTCTTACGCAAGTTAGTACGTCTGTGAAAACTGATTAGAGTTCATTCGAAGGATGTTTTTGACAGTGTTATTGCTTATTCACAAAGTGTGTGATGTGCGTTCTGTGTGTTTGAATACAGTGATAATCAAACTCATTTTTGTTTACACAAGTGACTATGATGTTTTTGGTTAGAAATACGTTTGATTGACATGCACGAAATGAAATCACGTTGAGCACTCGCATAGTGTGAGAGTACACTACTCATGTGATGTAACCATTTCACCAACTTTTTTCACCATAAATTCACAAAATAGTCCGGTTTATAGTCTGCACTTTCCTTAAAAAAAATAAAATTGACTCAAATTTTGTCTGTTGAAGAATAGGAGAAAAAAAGTGAAGCAAAATTTAGGCGAGAAAGTCTGGTGGTGAAAGGCTCACATATCATCATCTTTAGTTATGAACGTTACTTCCCTTGATCTTTTAAATCCATGATTATATCTTGAATATTTTTATTTTATAATTTATCAACTTTCATTGTGCATTGAAAATAAGATCTTTGAAGAAAAACAGTCCCCTGTAAACATATTTGTTTTACTTTACAATCAGACAATTGTGACCAATAGTGTTGCAGTGACTTCAACAGTCCATGTTTAGTAAACTCAAAATGCTGTGGTTGCATTGTCTGACTGACATGTGTAAATATTTTATTGAGATGTGAACTCATTTATCGTAAAATCTGTATTAGAAACTGCATCCTTAATAGAAGCCGTACTCATTTTTTTGAAAAAATTAACAATCAAAAATTCTACATTTCTCATATGTGTAGATACTCTAATCTACATCCCCTCTGTTGCATTGTACCATTTTATTCTAACATGGCTATGCGCCCTCCACCAATCAGATCTCTGGATTCACAAATTATATTCTCTGTATAAATTGAGAGAAGTTGGTTAGAACATGGCTTTGTCAGCTGATCTTGATTGACAGGAGATCGCCAAAAGAACACACATGATTGGTTAATCTAATGCAACATTTTAATTAATATTGGAGGGTGCATAGCCATGTTAGAAGCCGGTTATAAAATGACACACCCTTTATACATGATTTTGAAGTCACTCGTGACTTCATAACAATGTATAAAGGGTGTGTCATTTTATAACCTATACATAGAAGCTGCAGCTTCTAATACAGATTTGACAGTAGTCACGAATTCCCACAGCCAACTTTATAGAATTTTGGGGGGGCATATAGCTACACATATAAATTTCAGAATTAGTCGGCTACATTGTATCATACACTAACCTTGAGCAAACACAGCCTGATATTTGCTGTTAATCATTTATTTATGGAGAATTCATTTCAGTTTGTGATTATTTCTCTTTTGCAGTTGCTAGGAAACTCACAGAAAGAATATGAAAAGTCTGTTTATAACTTCAGTGTGAAGAATCAGCTGAGATTCAAAGGAAATTTAAGTAGGTCATTGTAATGGCTGCATGTGTATATGTCATACATACAGTATATGACTTTTTTCAGTTTCTCTGATGTACAAATTCATAAACACTACACTACATGCAAATCACTCATACCCACTGGCGATGAACCACTTCTTTGATGTCAAGGTGGTGCAGTTGGGTTTAAATATAGTAAATCTGACAAAAACATTATTATTTATTGATGGACCACCACAGACTTTATGTCGCATAAATGAATTGTTTCTGGGGATGCTTGTCTCAGGAGCTGATGTTGTGGTTTTGTCTGTCTTTACATATTAATGTTAATATAATATTGTTGTTTGTAATAATTGTATTTTGAAAAAAAAAATATGGTGAATCTAAACCAAACTGGAAACAAACAAACAAATTGTTGCAGTCACTTTTACATTGGCATTTACAATGTCGAGACAGGTTTTACTAATTTGTGATGAAAAGATGGGAAAAACCAATGTACCCCACCATTTTACCCTAACTCGAAAGCTAGTCCTCCCACCCCAAATTCAGTTGTATATGTTCCTTTTGATAACTATAGGTTTGAAGGTGCATATACAATTAACTTGAGGTTTAATAAAGGGTAGAGGTTGGGTTAAAGTTAGGATTAGAGGTGGGGTACTGTACATTGGAAAGTCTTTCTAAAAGATGAGTTACAATGCTTGTTATTTTTTATATAATATTTCTAGTACGTCAAGTGAAAAAAGATGAGAAGAAATACTATGAAGGATTACTGAAGTATAGCCAGGACCATCTCATGTTGTATCCGTATCACCTGTCTGATATCATGGTCAAAGGACTACGAGTCACTCCGTTCTCTTATTACTCTGGCATGATGCATGATATTATGTCAAACGAAAGAAGTTACGATTCACTGCCGAATTTTACAGCTGCCGATTGTAAGTTTGATGTATTATCTTTTGCGTCATCTCAGCTCATCAGACTGCACAGCATTCTTGTCAGGTTTATTGATATTGTCCATACAGGGAATAAAGGTCACTCACATCACGAGGAGTAGGAACAATATTATATTAAAAAAAATTACAAAATATAATATTTTTTATCTGCCCCCTCTTTATATAATGGACTTGTCTCCTTGCCAATAGCCTTCACCATCTAATAACATAATGGAATGCCCTGCTTCATCAATAATTATGGAAGGGGGAGGGGAAAAATATATCTGGTAATTTTTTTTAATAAAATATTTTTCCTACTCGCTGTGCTCACATATGTAATTTTGAACTATTTTTAGTTTCCCATTGTGGTGACCAAACTTGGGACTCCCTACAGACATTACAAGGACATGTCATGTTAGAGTTCTTGTAAAAGACCTCTATAATAAAGACAGAATAATCCTTGCAAGTTTTCAGAGTTTTCAAAGGATCAGAGGTCAAATGGTTAAATTGACCAAACAATATTATTGATCTTTGTCTGAAATTGGAGCATCAAAAAAAGTTTTTATTTGCTATTTTGTGCTTCAACAAGAAAAATAAATTTCAGCAATGCATTCTTGTTTTTCTTATAATAATTTTTTTTTGACACAAGGAACAATGTACAGAGTTACATATACTAAGGAATGTTACCATCTAGAAATGTTCTCCTATGTTACATTTTTACAGAATTGCTGAGGACCTGCAAATTGTTATTTTTTTCTTCTTCATATTTTCAGGTTTGCGGTTGTTATGTATTGGTAGAAATCAGTACATTGATATTATGAATCAATGCAGGTCATCAAAGGTTAGAATCCGACACACACGTTGCTTGTGTGCTCGTAAACTAGTTTTATATTAAGCATGATTTATTCTTACCAATAAACCCATTCATCTGATATGTTAGTCTGAGTACTTCATCAGATCCACCATCTTGTTATCAGCTCATCTTTAAGTTAATATAATCAATAAAAGGGGTCGATAAATGTTTGATTTAGAGTACATTAGAATTATGTCTGAGTACTTCATCAAATCCACCATATTTTTCTCAGCTCATTTTAATATAATCACTAAAATGGATTGATAAATGTTTGATTTAGAGTGCTTCAAATTCACCATAAGTAATCATGATATAACCACTAAAATTGGCGGTATTATGTTTGTTTTGAAGTGTCGGTAGTTAAATATTCTGAAAAATTTCTTTTGTGTAAATTAAACTTTGGACGAGCTGGCGACCATGTTATGAACATACTTTGAACTAGTCAACAAATTTCTGACATTCTTATTTAATACAACATCACTTCCAAATGATCTGTTCCAGAAAACTATGTGCAAGTTCTAAAGAAATATTCATTTCATTTTTTCATCTTTTTTGCAGCCTTTTTTCACAATCATGAAATCGTGTCTGACACAATGAAAAAATTAGCCTTTACAATCATTCATGCATTATTCATCTTTGAAAAATTCTCAGTACAGTGTATTTGCCTTATTAGTAGCCCTTTCCAAAAGACTGTCTCTCTGGGTATCCCACACATCCATGAACATACATTCAGTAAACCCTTTTAAATTTTAATGTCATATTTTTCCCATTACCCATTTTGCAAATTTATTATATTAATATCTCATGTGTTTCTATGGTTAATATTTATGGAAATAATTTTTTTGTTTTTCAACAACCAGTCATAACATTGCAGTTTATATTAGTAAGCCATTTTCTGATTAGTTGACAAATTTCAAGAAAGATTTCTATATTTTATAGTATAAGGTGACCATTGGACGAGTTTTGAGTTATAGTGCTAACAGTCAATTTCTAAATGACGATGGGGGTGATTTCTAGCTTGTACAATTTCCCAATGTTCTGGTGAGCTATATTTGTATCGAGTGGGTCAAAATCAACCTCCCTTCGCCGACGAAATTGAATCGTTTTTACACCAAAGCGTGCAAGTTTCTATTAGGTGGTAATGAAACTCAATACTTGTCTATTATGATACAATTGAAAAAGAACAGTACCTACATTGATTATAATCAGATGGGGGCACAGTGTTGGACCCAGAGTGGCTGTCAATCTTCGCTAGAATCTCTCCTCCATTTCAGCCAATAATTTTATTATTTGCATGTTTTCATTTTCTTAGCCAACCATACAACGCCCTGGTAGCATACAAGTAAGTTTATTAGTTTGCAAATGCTTTGTTTCTGTTCTTACCTAATTTAATTCTTTCCAAGCTGCATGATTCATTTTGCGTGTTCATCCATGTTTCTCAATCAATAACCTGCACCTTTTTTTATATGTGTTGAGTTCTGTAACTAGCACTGAATTCTCATTGACTATTACATCACTGTTATGATAATGGCTTTAGTCACTTCTTGTAATCAAATTTTTAAGTGTGTGTGCATCAAAATGTTATGTTCATATTTACTCTTAGTATCGGGTGGGGCAGTTTTGGTTTGATGGGTATGTTGGGCTGGTTTGGGATGTTTGATGGGTTAGGGTATTTAGGGTTAGGTGGGCTGATTTAAGAATGTGGGTGTTTTGGGTTGAATGGTTTGGGATCTGTGAGGGAGGGATGTTTTGGGTTGGGTTGAGTAAAGCTGTTTTGGGTTGGTTTGAAATGTGGGTGTGAGGATATTTTGGGTTTATTAGTTTTGGATGTGTGTGGGGATGTTTTGGGTTGGGTTGAGTAGGTTGGTTTGAGATATGTGGGTATGTGAGGATGTTTGGGTTGAGTGTTTTTGGATGTGACGGTGGAGATGTTTTGTGTTGGCTTGAATAGGTTGGTTTGAGATGTGTGGGTGAGTTAGGATGTTTTGGGTCGAGTGGTTTTGGATGTGTGGTTGGGGATGTTTTGGGCTGGGTAGTTTTGCATGTGTGGGTAGTGATGTTTTGGGTTGGATTGAGTAGGTTGGTTTCTGATGTGTGGGTGAGTGGGCATACTTTGGGTTGTGTGGTTTCGGATGTGTGGGTGGTGGTTGAGTGGTTTGGTTTGAGTTGTGGGGATAGGTGTTTTAAGTTGGTTTGGGGTTTGTGGGTATGTTTTGTGTTGGGTTGGCTTGTTTTTTGTGTGTGGTTGGTTGGGGATATTTGGCCGAGTGTATAATTGAGTACAAATAAGAAATACTTTAATAAATACTAAGTTGTGCACATTGTGGTAATGCTTATATCTCTTTGATTTTCACTCTTTGTTCTAAATCTTTCTAATTAGTAATTGACAGAACATTTCTCAAGTCATGCACATTCGTTATAAAACAAATTAACTAGACTAACACAACACCTATAATGTAAAACATTTATCAGTAAAGTTATTATTATATTCAATATTTTCCTTAGATTAATAATAGTATCTAATTAAAACTACAGTTGTAATTTAATAATTGCATTATGTTTGTCTTTACGTATCGGCTTCTCAATGTCTAGGTGAAACCTTACATGGATTTGCTCTCACTGACATTTGATGCCTTACATGAATGTTCACTGTAATGGCTTCTACTATTCAAGAAAAAATTGGTAGATTGATCCAATGATATTTTTTTCTCTTGTGTTTTTGTTTGAACTTAGAAATTAATATTTTTTCTTAGAATTCTTAGCAAAGCTACAAATAAATCATTTTGAAAAGCTAATACCTGCATTGTAATGCATTTGTTGACACAGATGAATTGTACTGTTTATGATTTGTTCAGTTTGTCTGATACAAATCCTGAAAAATATTTCACGATAGGATATCATCGAAAGTTGAATCAAGTGAAATTATTTTTTGCATACCCGGTAGTTTATGAAAAAAATGAATAAAAATATATTATTTGTGTAATATCATGGTTGTAGTAAAACATTAATTTCAGCTTAAATTAATTATGTTTAGTTCAGTTTAGTTTAACTTCCAATCTTGGATAGACTTAGCTTCAGTCCCATGCTGTTGTGATACTGTGACTCTGGCATGGGCAAGCTGCTCTCAGTAAGAGATTGGGGAAACTTTGTTATGGTTTTGTCAATTGATCTAGATACAATATATATATATATATCGTGTGCTAGAAGTTATCGTTTATTTATCTTTATGTATTTGGCCGAAATATATGATTTAGTTTGTAAACATGGTTTGGTGTAGCGATTACTGCTATCATACTCCACTTGTGTATAATTGGTTGGCAGCATACAATAGACAATTCACTTCACTGTTAAGGCAACATTTTCAAACTGGAATATGGCAACTTGGTATACGTTGAAACTCAAGTAAAATTTTGAGAAAAATTACCATTGGAAGTCTGCGTTATGTATGAGTCGTCTTTACCAACCTTCTAATTTCTGTTGTCACCATTATGCTGCTCAAACTGAATCAAAACTGAAGATAAAATACTCAAATATAAGATGTCCATGTAATAATTTCATTTTGACAACCCTTTACAGAAATTCTTTCGTCGAAAACCGATACGAGATTTATTGCCGTTAAAACCAGTAGAAGAGATTAACATAGAGTCGTGGTGGATAGTGCAGGCTGGGTACATAACAGAGGATGACATCAAGGTAATGAACTTTGTTTCACTTATTGATTGGTCAATTTTAGGATAATATAATTAATCATTTGCTTCATATTAATCAAAATCTGTATATCTGTATTTGATTGAGCTGTGAATTTTTCACATTGGTATTATAAGCGGAACCAGGGATTTTTTTAAACAAGGGAACAGGAACGCAGCGCCCTCATGCCATGGCCATGCACCCCCTTACCCTCGGATTGATCAGGGATCACATGTGGCCACAGTCTTCAACTGTGACCTGTCTGATAGTAATTTCGGCCCCAAGGAAGCCATAGGATGCTCCATTTTAACTTAGAATTATCAAAAACTCCACACTCTGGTAGGGAGAATCCCATCTCCCCCACTTGGTGGCGCCACTGAATTGCAGTGCTCCCTCTTGCAGCTTTTTTCTAGGAAAACCCTTGGTGGAACCGTAGATCCGTAGAAGAACACACTTAAAAATGTCAATACTTTGGTAGTCATTGTTTAGATGGCCCCATTTGAGCCTAACGATCCTAACTTTGCTCGTTATTGTAACAATACTAGAGATAGAATGAGATAAGTTGTTTCTTTATTATTGACATGTAGATTAATCACAAATTTCTAATAAGGTATTTAGGCTCACGATTGACGTGTGTTGTTGCTGACACAAGGTATTAGTGTCATGTCTAACCTTGACAGATAAATTTTTCTTTAATTACCTGAGCAAGGGGCAGTTAATGATCTATGCCATTCTTTGCCAGTGTAATCATAGATAGGTTGTAATTATATCTTGTATATTCTTAGATGTGCTCCATTGCTGAGAAGAATGCTATTGATAAAATAATTGACAGTGGTCCACAGCTGGCTGGTGACATGGACTATACTACTGTACATAGTAAGTTGCAACAATGTGCTTTCTTTGGTCATTTTTACTTTGACATACTTAGTTCAGATCTTGAGATAATACCATTTTAATTTTATGACAAAGATGTAATCTTTTTGAGTTTAGCAAGACGAAAAATCGGGAATTTTGAAGGTGTCAAGAACTCTTTGGGGTTGCAGTCACAGTTTTACGATGTGTAAACACATTCTCAAATTATCAAGTGTGAATATTTTGTGGTGAAAATATGAAAATATATGAAAATAAAACCATAAAAAAACTATACAAATACATGCGTGCTGCTGTATAACCACACAGGGTGCTGGTAAATGAAAAAATTAAAAATAATTAATCAGTACCAGCAATTAATTATAATTTGTGTTCTTTTCGTCAAATTATTGATGAAATTAAAGAAAATTTGAATAATATTGTCTCATTTCACACTAACATCAGAAGAAGAGCCTCCTAATTCAAATCCAGTAATTTTAACAATTTCCTTCTGATTTTTAGAACTTTATACAAAAGGATTAATTTATTTAGAAGTTCCCATGGCTGATGATGCTTGTATAATTGGTAAGTCTTATATGTATGTTACTGTATCTCAGTAGAGGTCAATGACCTGATGATAAACACCTACATAGGTAGTGTGATTCACTGGCTGGCTTCGTTACTTGTTTAGGGATAGTTAAGACCCAGCAAAATCAACAATTTTATTTTAATTCAGTATGAAATGAGTTTAAATTCATTGAAGTTAAAATCCCATTACATACAATAATAAGAAACTAAAAGAAACACTTAAAGCAGGAGGGTCATCACCCGGGAACCGAGTCCCACATGCTAAAAACGCAAAGGCTCATGGGTAGGCACTT